AATACCTGAATACTTTTCGGGTCAGATTAATCCTTAATTTCCATTTAATCTGCTGCAAAAAGGGAGAAAAACAGTACTGTTTAGAGATTGCAGGTCAACTCCTTCTGCATCCCTCTGAATGCTCAGATTTAATTCCAAACACTAGCAAAAAATGTATAAACCATCGGATGACCAGAAATTATCACAGAGGCAAAAGAAATAAGAGAAACCAAGAAAGTAGCTCTTCTCTAAGGGAACAGAATAACTCCTCTTCACCCACAGACAATACAAGGGAACTCATGGAAATCTCATATAAAGAATTTAAAATATCCGTAGTGACAAAGCTAAGAGAGATCCAAGAGAAGAGAGACACGAACTCCAGAAAATCCAGGAGAAAAGAGACACTGAGTTCCAGGAGGTAAGTTCTTGCACAATCTGAAAGAGGAGGTACACATCATAAAAAAGAATCCAATGGAATTGTTAGAGATGAAGGCTATACTACAGGAAATCAAAATCTCTCATGAAAATATCAAAAGCAGATTAGATCAAGGAGAAGACTGAATCCCAGTTGTAGAAGATAAAACCTCTGACCTAGAAAATTTTACCAAAGTGACAGAGAAAATAACCCCCAAAATGAGAATAACATGTAAGTAATACTAGATACCGTTAAACGCCCAAACATCTGAATAACTGGTATCCCAGGAGGTGAAGAAACTAATTAGGGCATTGATAATCTATTCCATCAAATCCTGGAAGAAAACTTTCCAAACCTAGAAAGACACTCAAATATCCAGACCCAAGAAATACGATGGACCCCACGTAGAATTAACCCAAGAAGATCTTCCCCAAGGCACATCGTAGCCAGATTGACCAAAACCATGGACAGAGACAAGATACTAAATTTGGCAAGAAAGAAACATTGAGTTACTTTCAAAGGATATTCTATCCAGCTAATATCAAACCTCTCATCGGAAACAATGCAAACAAGGGATGAATGGGAAAATATATTCAAAGTGTTAAGTGAAAAATGATTTCAACCAAGAATACTATACCCAGCAAGATTATCTTTCATAAGGGGGAAAAAAAGACAAAAACATTCTCAGATAAACAAAACCCGAACGAATTTACCAACACCAGACCAGATCTCCAAGAAGCTTTGAATAGAATGCTACAGCAAGAAAACTAAAATTGAATAAACAGAAATAAGAGCACAAAAAGCAACCAAGAGAATGGCCAGCCTAATGGTTGGGACAAGCTCAGAGTTGAATGTTGACTTCCAGAGTTTGGAAAGATCAGACCACAGTAACACTGCAAATTCAATAGAAGAGAGATTAATTACATTAGATTGAACTGGTGAATAGAATTTTTTGACTCTAGACTAAAATATTACTGATTTTCTCTGATGCTTTGATTTCCATATTTAAGAATTTTTGTCTTCTCTTGAGCTATTGATAGGTTCATCTACCTACTATTTGAACTGAATCCCACCCTTTTTCCCAGATTTAAGTTTTAAGCAAATTTCTCTTAACGTTTTTTGATTTTGATCTATTAAAATAAACTTCTTCTTGAAATTAAAAAATGGATTAAAAATACGTATTAATACCTATTTAATGATTGCAGTAAGCTATATAGCCCCAGCTAGGTACTACTTTATAGTATATTCACTTTACTCACTGAGGTTTACACCTTAAGTCAGACATGTATTCATAGTTATGTATACATCAGCTGTGCTTACTATTGCAAGTTTTTAAATTAATTAAGACTCTTAGTGAATCAATGAAATGTGAAAACAAAAGGCATGAAAAACAACTGTAGATACCAGAGACAGTGTGGGAGGACGGGGGGGGGGGGATGAGAGGGTGAGAGGTAGGGGATTAAGGGGGGAAAAAAGCAAAACATATAAGAAACAAGAAATAGAAAATTATTTGTTGATGATAACATGTATGGTAATATCCTTTATTGAGCCAATATACAATGTATTCTGGATGGAATATCTCATTTTGTATATTGTATTGATGTACAGTGAATGGATGTAAATAAATAAATTTAAATAAATTAAAAATAAAAGAAATTGACATGTAGAGATTACCTATTCGAATTTTCATTTTTTCAGATGAGGAACTAGGTTCCAAAGAGGATAATTATCTGCACGTGTGTCACGATACACTTGTCTGATGTGGTGCTATTTTCTCTCATTATCTAGAAGGTCAGGAAGGGTGGGTGGTATGGCTATTAAACATTTTAAAACGCTGGGACTCTGAAGTTTAAGAACCATTTTGTTTATTTAGCAAACACTTGTTGGTTATCTTCTCAGTACCCATTTCCCCTTTTTCTTTCTCAAAGGCTTCCAATTTTATTTGGGAATTCAAACAGTTCCAGATGAAGCTGCTTTGGCTTTTGGACACTAAGTCAAATAGCATATCCAGTCCCTAATTACTGCTTCTGGAGTAGCTTAAGCAGGTCAAATCTAAAAGAATGCTGGAGCAAAGTTGCTCCTACCTTTTTTTCAGATGTGAAAGAGGATGTTTGTCACCTTGGAGCTGCTGGCAGCAATCTTAAGAATAGTGTGAAGATGAAGTGGAAGTTAAATAGATAAAGAAAGAGGAAAAGTTCCAAAGGAAACTATTGAAGGCAAATATCTTTCATCTTTTTTTAATTAGGTGAGCTGATCAACTCCTTTGCAAGTTTAAGCTATTTGAGTTAGATTTTCTTTCACGTACAGCAAGAAGAGACAGCAGGTTGGTGCATTTGTCTCTTCTGACACACAATCTTCTGAACATCAATGAATCACTCATCTCTTGGATTACTTTCACAAATGCAGGTAGGGTTAAAAAAAAACCTAAAATGTACTAAAACATTAATTATTTTTGTGTACCCCATTTTCCTTTTCTAGAGAACTCAGTTGCCATCTTCATGGCTGTCGGGACCTGTGGATTATCATACTGGACTACATGAATAAGTTCTCAAAATAAAACAGAACTAAAAGCAAGAGAGAGAGGTTCTGAACTTAAATTTCACTAGCAACTTTCCTTACTGTGCTTATTGTCTTTAAGACATACTTTCTCTTGGAGATTGAGAGCCCTTTAAGGAAGGGTTGTGGATGTTGAAGGGGAGGCTGTGAAGAGAGGTCTATAGAGTGTGCTAGGAGGAAAGACTAGTGAAAATGCCAGAGATGTGTTAGGAGAGGTAGAAATCTCTCAGGAATTTCTTTGTATTTTATAGGAAGATAAACTGAGCTTTAGAGTAGGATCCTGTTCAACATCACCCAGACAATCCAGCAGCATTACATGGATTTGAACTCCAGAGCCCTAACTCCCCAACCTGGCCTCACCCTCCAGATGACCCCTTTCCCTCCTCCTAAGACCTGTGAATTGCTCCCCCTGGAACCAAACCAGATGTTCTGGAGAAGGCACTATGTCAGCATTCTAAGCGGAAGGGCCTGGTCTCTTGAGATGCCATTTGCTAGACTCACTATGCTGGGCTGACACTGAGCCCAGGTGTTTTCTACAGTCAGGTGACAGAGTTTTAGAGTCTCTTGGAGTTCTCTTTAGAGAAATATGGAAGCACTTGTGTGAAAAGCTCTTCTCTCTTTCACTGAAGGATTGAAAAGAGCAAGGATGACAGATCTCTAAGGAAGCCTCAGGGGTGACATATGTCATGGGAGTGCGATGGTGGTGGTAGGGGACAAAGGTAAAGATTTGGGAGGTTATGTCAGAAGACTCATAAAATTTTAAAGCTATCTCTCCCACATTCCTCATTTTATGAAAGAGGAAGCTGGCTAACTCCCAGAGAGGGAAAAGTACTTGCTTAAGGATTTGTTATAAGCCATTGGTGGAGGTAAGACTAGGACCCAGACCTTTTAACTTCCAGACTGAATGTATTAGTTGTCTGTTGTAGTGTGATAAATGAGTCCCCAAATTAGAGTCTTAAAACTATAAACATGTGGGGCTAGCAGGTGACATGGTGGTAAGGCATGGGGCTTCCATATGACAGACTGCAGTGTCATATGGAAGTCCTGGACATGGCAGTTTGCTTTCTCTCCCTCCCTCTCTTTCTCAGTCTTTCTCTGGTGAGCAAATTAAAAAATAATAGTAATTACAACAGTAAATAAAATTAAATAAATAATTTCTTAAAAAGCCACACACATGTATTTTTATAGTTTCTACGCATCAGGAAAACAAATGTGTTTTAGTTGAGTTTTTTTTTGCATCTGAGTCTATCATGATGCTGCAATCCAGACATTAGGAGGGGCTGTGCTCTCACTTGAAGGCTAGATTGGGTGAGGATCTGCCTTCAGAGTTCATTCAACAAGTTCACTTTTCAAAATTCTATTCCTTACACCCTGTTGAACTGAGATCTTCTGTTCTCCACTGCCTATTGACCAGAGGTCTCCCTAAGTCCTTTGCCGTATATCACTCTTCATATGGCAGCTCACAACATGGCAGCTAGCTTCCAAAAGTGTGAGTAAAAGAGCAAGAAAGGGTGAGTAAAACTGAAACCAAAGTCCCTTTCTAACCTAATCTTAGAAATGACATATTATTACTGTTGCTGTATCTAATTCTTTGAAGCAAGTCTCTTTGTATGTCCCACACTCCTTGATATCTGAGGCAGAAATTATCCTAGGAGCTGCCTACAATGCCAAATAGTTCCCACTGTTATTTGCCACCTTTCTAAGCAATAGAGCAGAAAAGGCCGGAAAAGCAGACACCAAAGATTCTATTATATAGCTCTTTTGCTCTGTTTTTCATTTGGAGTAAACAACCTTCCCCTCAAAAAAGGGTAAATAAGTGTTAGTCAATTGTTAGATGATAAAACAAAATAAGGAAGAAATTTTATCTGGAAACTGAAAACTGGGTCCTGATTATCAACTGAAACCCCAGATAAGTCACTCAACCCCATAGACCCTCAATCTGTTCACTTAATCACTGGGATGACAGAGTCAACCTCATTGGATTAATTGAATAAATGTAACACCTTTCAAAGTTAATTGTTTCAGATTGGGTGACTTGATAAAAACAGACCTGGAAAGTCAATTGAGGTCTTCACTCTCATTGTGTATCCTGAAATTTGAAAGGATATATGTGGTAGTCAATGTAATAAGGTAGGAAACAGAAATAAATAATAGACTATGGGGATTGAACACCTGAATTTTTCTGATTGTATGATGGTATATTGGTTTGCTAGGACTCTCAAAACAAAATATCACAAATTGGGTGTCTTAAACAATGTTTTTTTCTCACAGTTCTGCAGGTGGGAAAATCTAAGATCCAAGGGTTTATAAATTTCTTCTAAGATTTCTTTCCTTGGCTTGCAGACACGCTCTTCTTACTGTCTCTTTGCATAGCCAAACTTCTTTGAATGCACACCTAGGGTTCTAAATTTCCTATTCTCATAAGAACACCAGTTAAATTGGATTAAAGCCTACCCTAATAGCCTCATGTTATTAAATCACCTCTTTTGAGGTCCTATCTCCAAATTTAGTCACATTCTGAAGTACTGGGGGTTAGAGTTTTAACATGTGAATTTTAGGCTAATAGCATTCAGCCTGTAACAGCTATTATATCCACACAAATTTGGAGAGTGAATTAAAAATCTAGGAGAACTAATGAGATCAGTAAGGGAGCAAAAAACAAAATAAATACATGCCAATTTAGACCTTCATTGCATATCAGTAAAAATAATGACCCACTGAAAAAATACAACAAAAAAACACATGCCATTTACAATAACCACCATCTTGGATCTGGCCAAGTATTTCTGTGAAGGGCAAAGGGGAACTGTGTCTTTTGACTCTTCCTCATTTCATTATCTGGGCATGGAAACAGCACAGCTTTTAGCCAGAATCTTCTGGAAAATCTTCTGAAAATATTTCAAGCCTCTTGTTCCCAACTTCTAACCACAGGGGCTTAAACATTAGGCATGATACTTTTCAGTGAGGCATGCATGGCCCACAATTTATCTGGGCCTTCATTCCTTTTCCAGTTAGGACACACTTCCTCAAAAACCTAGTGCAATTTGCTCAGTTCCAACATGAGAACATGTTAACACAGGGGCTATTAACCCCCCAAAGAACTTTTCCTCTTGGCAAACACATCTTGAGCACAGGAGACAGTCCATTTATATTATTTAAAGCTTCATTTGGGCCATTTCCTGAGAACAAAGAGACTATCTATGCTAAAAGACTGTTGATGTTTCCTTTCTTGCCAGATAGAAATAGCTTCCAGCTTGAAGAAATTAAAACAAAAAAGTTAATTATAGAAATAATGTGTAATAAAACATTTAAAATATAGATAAGCCAAAGTCTTCATTCATCACTTCTCCCTTAAAATGATCACTGTCCAATTGATTGGTGCAAATACTTTCAAAAACATAGAAAATAATGCGGGTATGCTTGTATATATGTCTCTGTGTTTGTATATACACTTACATATCACACATACTTACCCATCTTAATTAACTAATTTATTTATTTTGCTATAGGGTTACATGCACTCACAAGAGATAGAGAAAGAGAAAGTGCAAATGAGAAAGCACCCCCTAGGGGAGATGGCCATGCCTCAGTCCCTTCTCTCAGGATTCTAGACATCTATTCTCTCAGGATTTTGGATATGCATGCACATGTGCCCTGCGTGTTTTTCAGGCTGCCAAGTCTGGGGCTTCAATTGCATAGTTGGTCATGTGGGATCCAAGTGCCTTCAACTCCATACCATCTACTGGCCTCCACCAACTTTATTTCTTAAATATAAAAAGTCTGATCCTTTTAAATTTAAAGAGGATTGTATACTATGCATTGCTTAGCCTTTTTTTAAACCCCATATAACAATATGACTTGGAAATCTAGCCATATCAGTACATATTTATGTGTGTGTTAATGCATATGTATTTTTTATTTTATACAAGAGAAAGAAAGAGTGAGAACATGAGAGAGAGAGAGAGAGACAGAGAGAGAGAGAGACAGAGAGACAGGCACTCCTGGCAGGTCCTGCCACACAGTGATCCTTCCCCTCTTCCAGACTTTCAGCCAGATGGGAACAACCATGCACCCAACATGTTTTAAGTCTACCCAATCTCTCTCATGTGGCTCCAGCATTGCAGAGTATTGCCATATCACCTGCACTTCCACAGCTGGGCCTATATCTTCCTTTTAACTGCCATAGAACATAGCATGGTATATATGTAGTTTACTTTATTGGGCTAGTCTTTAAGGGTGTACTTCAGTGAAGAGGCTCATATTAGACTTTACAAGAGACCCAGTTTTATTGATTCAGTAACTCTATGTTAAGAGTCTTACTAACTTTAAATGCTGCCATGACTATTGAGCATTTCTCATGTAGAGATATAAAAAAATTTCTAGAACAGATGCTGTCATAACTAATTCATGTTGCCCTAACAAAATACCTGAGACTGGGTAATTTATAAACAGCAAAAATATATTTCTTATAGTTCTGGAGACTGAGAAGTTCATGATCAGGCTACTAGCATTTCAATGTCTGCTGAGAGACTGGTCCCTGCTTCCATGCTGGTAACTTGCATTCAAGAAAAAGAGGGTTTTCTCCAGCCCTTTTTAAAGGCAGTAATGCTATTCATGAGGGTGAAGCCCTCATGGTCTAATCAGCTTTCAGAGGCCTTAACTTCTTAATATGGCTGTGTTGGGGACTGAATTCCAATATAAATTTTGGAGGGGATAGAAGCATTCCACCTATAGCAGATGCCTATAGGTGAAATTTCAGAGTCTAAAATTTTGCCATTAGCAATTTTAGTAGATTAGCTCTAAAAATTGTTTTTAACTTCTACTCATCAAGGTTTCAAACATCTTAGGGCTCAGTTTCTATTTGAACACCTCATATATAACCCCATTGTTTCCTCACTGTTATGGGTACCAACATGACTCATTGGCTGCATTGTTAGTTTGTCACAATTTCCTTCCTCAGACCAGACCTTAGAACCACAACCTAGTTTCTCATTCATGCTTTGACTCTAAAGTCTATCTTGGTGATGAATCAGCCTCATGATAGAGGTCTCGATTTTCAGAATATAGGTCAAAATCTTAGTATGCAGTGTATATATTAGAGGACAATTGATAGGCACGTACCTTACACAGGCAAGAGTTGACAACACCAGGCATATGTTTCACTCTCTGGCTAGCTCTTCCACCTCCGTTAGTCCTGAGTTCAGGAGAAGGCCAAGTTCTTTCCATTGGTGTTCTATGTGGTGTCTCCCCAAATTCGGGCCCATATTTCTCTCCCAGTTGCCACTTGGCTACTGCTGGCTGGTTGCTTGAAGTCTCAGTTCCTCTAGCCAAATCTCCTGCTTCACTATCTTACCTAGACCAATATCCTGGAGTAAGCCTCCCTCAACTAAGCTTAGTGTTAGTCTGTGGTTTAAGACACCCCATCTTTTCAAAGACAAAATCTCTTTGTTTTGTTCTAATAGTCATTTTTCTAGTTTTCGCTAACTCTCTAGAGCAGAACTCAGCCCACCTTAATTCTAATCAGCTTTCTCAGATTCAGCTTTACAGTTCTCATTTTGATAGAGAGCCACATAAGATTTCATGAAAAATTTTGTATGTATTTGAAAAAAAAGTAAATAATCAATAAATTAATGTATTAACAAATATTTCCTATGCAATTCAATTATGATGGTAGATGTTGGAAATACTATGAATAATGAGAAATAAACAAGCTAGAACCTTGATCCCCCCAGCTTTATGAAGCTCACAATCAGAGTATTACCTATAAATAGAATCACAAATGTGAGAGGAGTATTACCTATATATAGAATCACAATATAAATATTACCTATAAATAGAATCACAAATGTGAGAAGTAATGCTAAAGAACATCTGTGTGCATTAAGAATGTAAAAATAAGATCTGGCCCAGCCAGAGGTCACTGGAGGGGTGAGGGTAGGCACGGTGCATTTAATAGGGATGAGTTACAGTTCAGGCTGAGGGGAGGTGAAGGGAAGATGGGCCCAGGAGGGTCCTCTGAGGCCCCATGACATTTTGAATGCCCACCTTTTAATTGAGGCATGGAGGTGGAAAAGACAGCTTCTCCAATGGCATCTCATACCTCCAGTTCTTTTTTTCCTCAGTTCTTGTCAGAATCGGTGGCCTTGGCTCCATTTTCTGTCTTAAACATAAGAGGTTGGTCTAGATGAGCCCTAAAGTCCCTTCTAACTGTAACACTCTTTACTATGCTTCTCCTCCAAATGGGAGCTGTGGTCATTTGTCAGCAGCATCACATCCACCCACCTTTCCATCCATTCAGCACATATCTGCTGAGCAACTATTACATGTCAGATACTCTAGCAGAGGGGCTGGAAGCACAGTGGAGGATGAAACTTTGTACTGCCTGTGGTCATGGGACTGTCTAGTTCTGGAATACATTTGGGTTACTCCCTTTTGTCAAATTAATACATGTATAATTTAGGTGTTGTGGAATGAGCAAAGTTAGGAGCTCTTGGTATAGACACTGAGGGGCCTAGGACAAGGCTCTGAGTCTTTTAGTACCTAACATGCACTTGGTTAATAACTGCCTATCCAGCGTTGATGCCCTGCTCACCTGAGAGCTTATCATCTGAAGGGCACAAGTAGTCCCAGGGGCCTCTCCTCAACATAAACACCACTGTACAGTATAATGGCCTTTCACTTTATGGTGATAGGACATAGGTTACCATCCTGGATGTGGGAAACTGTGAATACAGATGTGGGTAGAGAGCAGACATTCCTTGAATAAACCCACATTGATCATATGTCCCAGTCTGAGAGGACCTGTAGTGAGTAGCCTTGATAAAACAAAGCTGCTGATGATTTTTGTCTTCAGGAAAATTATGTTTTATCAGGGCTATAAGACCCTAGTAGCTACAATAATTTTGTATCCATAGGAAGCAGGGATTTCTAGAAGAAGGGAAACTCAGTTGGTTAGCACCCAAGAAATGAAAAAACCCACTTCTGCCTGGGCTGAATAGGGAAATATCCTTGATGCTATGTTTTATAAATATGGGAGGAATTGAGAGAGAGAGAGAGAGAGAGAGAGAGAGATGATAGTAAAAAGCAAGAGATCTCTTTCCAGAAAAGAGTCTGCCCTTTGTCCTTGGTCTAATTACCTTCCAGTTGAAATGATAGAAAGTCAAACTGACCTAGATAAAGAAAGTACTCTTTAGTCTCCGGGAGTCTTGTAGTCTCACCCATTTGTTTTCTATCAGTTCAGTAGGGATGAGATTTCGTCCATGCTGAAGGGAAGGAATGGAAGATGAATCCAGGAAGGTCTACCAAGGCCCCATGACATTTCAAGTACCTACTGAAAAAAATCAGGCATGGAAATCAAGCCACTTTAAGGCTAAAAAATTAAAAAATAAAATTTAATTAATTCAATAATACAGGTAGAAAGAAAGAAGAAAGAGACATTTCTCTCTTTCCAAGTCTTTGCTCTTGGCCCACACCTGTCTCCAACTCACAGAACACCTCCACCCACCAGCCCTTGCAACACACCAGGCTGGGCATCAAGCCAGTCTTTCTTAGATGAAATTGAGGCTGCCAGGTCACCCCATCCCCACTATTCCTCTAGCCTGAGGCCCCACCTCCCCTCTCCTGGGAGACACAAAGGGATTTTGTGACTCAGGCTACAGCTCACAATACTCCTCTTTCTTTCTAGAAACAGAGTTGGGCTGTGGGGCACGTCTCCTGGTGGTAACTCTTGCACAACTTGCTAAGTAGTGAATGGAATGGAGGTTTCCACTCCTCAGACCCTGGGACAATCCTCTAGACCTATATGTTTATTTTACTCCATTGTATGCCATTTTGCAGAAATTTCAGTGGTCCCTGTTTGGTTCTAGCTGAATTTTAGGGGAGTAGGAATGGTCCAAAGAGGACTAATATGAAATACCCACAATGCACCACTGGGTATGGTGCAAATTGTTTTGCACAGTGATCCTACATAAATCTCCTTGCCAATCCTGGGAGGAAGTGTGTTTAACTCAGTTTTACAGAGCAAATGACAGAGCTCAGAGAAGTTAGGTAACTTGTTCAAGGTTACACAACTACTGGGTCTTTGGGAAAGTCATGATGTATTTTTCTATGCAAAAATGCACAATGACTTCTCCAATGACCTAATAGTGAGTGGTTGCAACAACATTTGAATCTACAGAAGGCTGCTGGCAAAGGTTTTGGCTTTTATGTTAAAATTTGTTACTCAGTGTTGAACCAGCTGACCCTTTTTGACCAGATCAAGAGAGATGAGCAATGTTATCATCTTCTCCTCTTGGTCCATCCCGAAGCATCCTTGATCTGCCATCAAATTTCCCCTTTTACTTTGGAAACTGATGTAGTTTGGTTTTGGAGGTAGAGACTGGGGCAGTGTTGTAGGTAGTAGAGAACAGAGTTCTTATTTGGCCTGTTATTACCTGAGCCATATGAAGTATGTCTTTTCCAATCTCAAGGCTTCAGTTTCTCCACCTGTAAAACAAAGCATCATAGCTTGGCAGTTAAGTGTATAAACATGGACAGATGGCTTGGTTCAAATCCCTGCTCTGCTACTTACCAACCACAGAATCTTGGGAAAAATTGCTTTATTTTTTGTGTCTCAGTTTCTTACCTCTAAGATAGTGATTATAATAGTACCTATTTCATGAGAATATGGTGAAGATAAAATATGTCTAAAGCTCTTACAAGAGTGTCTGCATAAGTATTTTACAAGTATTCTGTTACAAGTATTTTGTTTGTTTTCTACATGTAAAAATTTCTAACATTCTATTTTTTTTTCCAAATAAATATGTGGAAATAACATAGAATTTAAAGCCAAGTGTCACCCTTTTGAATTTTTTCTTCTCTACTTTTTGAGAGAGACAGAATGTGTGTATGTGTGAGTTAGCAGGTAGAGAAGTGAGTAGATCATTGTGATTAATAAGTTGTCAAGTTGTCCCCTTCTCTGTGTGTGTGTGACGCATAAAACCTCCTGATACATCAAAAAGAACATTTTTTACTTTTGTATATTGCATTTTCAAAAAACAATCAACTTTGAGCCCCTTCGTTAAGTGATAAGAGTTGTCTATGTAGAAAATATGCAAATATAGAATGGTAGGCAATTTTGTCCCTAGATATTCAGATAAGGTGATCATTCAGGGACATAAAAGGCACAAGGATGACCATGAGGACAACAAAAATAACATGACAGACCACAACAATCACCTGCCCAAACTCTAAACCTTAAAGATTAAATTAATCAAGACAGAAGGAGACAGTTCATGTATGGCATAGTTAGAAAAAGTGAGGTAGAGAGTGGGCTGGATTCACCCCTCTTCAGTGCTTACTTACACAGACCTGGCTTTGGTAGGTGCCACTCTAAGAGAAGAGAGCAGAAAGCAAAGAGAGTGGGAAGGTATTGAGCTGTAAAAACCAAGAGGGCCCTGGCCAGCTCTGATGAATAGAAATACATGTAATATGAGCCACATTTGTAATGTCCTGCTAGCCACATTTTAAAAAGCAAAGAGGAATCATGTAAAAATTAATTTTAGTTACTTTATTTAACCTAATGTCTAAAGTATTAGTTTAATACATAATCAACATAATTATTATTTATTTTCAAAAGACTTGTTTTATTTAACTTTACACATATATGTATATATATATATATATATGTATATACACACACAAACACACACACACACACACACACACACACACACACATATATTTAATTTGACCAGAAAGGCACAAAACAAGAAAGAACAAAAGGGAAAATGAGAAAGCAAGCTGTGAGGTCTAAGACTCAAACTGAGGGACAAAACAAGAGAGAAAGCAAGCTGTGAGGTCCAAGACTTGAACTAAAGTCAGCCATGTGGGAGTCCAGCACCTTTAACCAGCACACCGCCTGCTGGCCTTCCAGTAGATGTATAGACCTAGATCCTAAGGAGCTTTTATCTGCTGAATTGGTCAGACACATCATACTTGTCTGGAGAGAGGGCAATCATTCTGTCCAGGTGTTAGGCAGAGGAAGATGAAACCACCTGAGATTAGGACCTCCTCCACCCACCCCGAGTTGTGTCATTGATCTCTCTATGGACATAGCTGTCTCCATCTTAGACTCTTCCAGTGAGAATAGGACTCTCAGAACATTTACTTTTGCAGAGACATAAGTATAAAATGTATATACCAGTGAGAGAACCTGACCATTCATCCAGTAGCAGCCCTGCAATGTAGCTCTGTGATTTTATTCTTGCTATCCCATATACTATTAACTCTCAAGATGTGATAAGAACCTTCTACATGAGAGTAAGAATAGAGTTGAGACTGGAGTCAACTTCTGGTTGTGATGGTGAAAGGAAAAATGCATGTTATATATCTTGAGCAAATTCTCTGTGTTAACATAGCTAAAAAAAACATAGCATGTTATAAGGGTGTTCACAGATGTTGGGATTCAATAAAGTAGCTGCTGTGTGCTCTGAATGCTCAGTTTTTATCCTATGTAGTTGGTAACCTGGAATTTTTTTGCATTGAAAGGCAGTAGCTTGTATGTATAATGGGCATTTTGGTGTCTGACTGACCAGCATACATATCCCCTTCTTTGGCCATGGTCTCTTGATTTTCCTTCCAGAACCAAACCTGACCCACTGCAACACAATTTGGACCATCTTTTTTCTTTCTGTCAGGACTCTATGCTCCCAGGTAGGGCTGATGTTACTAATCCAGAGACTGCATAGTGAGTAGTGAGAATACATGAAATGCTTAACAGAGAGCAAGCCCTAAGTCAGCTCTGCCCAAGCTTCTGTGACAATTCATCACCCCTGTCTGGTAGACATCTGCTACCTGCATGGCTCCTGTTGTGACATCCACTTTTCCAACTTTCCTTGTATTCCCTGAGCTCTTCTAAATCTTTCCAATAGATTCTGCACCCCACCTGACTTTTAAGTTAGCTGGAATCTTTTCTATTGGAACCAAATGTAAATGAATGTGTGTTCTGGGCAGCAGGAGGGGTGTAATGTGGCTCATAATCTGCAACTGAAGGGAGCAAATATAAAAGAACAAGAAATGGATGGAGTAATCTGACCAGAGAGCCCCTTCAGGCCTCCAGTGATATCCAGGGTGGGAGAAAAATCCTCACTGTTTGCAGAATATTTTCTCATTTCTTCTGTTACTTCTTTCTTAGAAGAGTATGATTCTCATGTTGTGAAGTGCTGTGGTCTACCCAGAGTTCAGAGATAGCCCTGTGGCAGGTCCAGCCTTCTATCCATACTCACAGATGCTGCTTTCTAGTCTGAGGATAGAAGAGGTCAGCCAGATGGTGGCTCTTAAGCATTTCTTTAATCTCCACCTTTAGGATCTTAGAATTCTTTTATTATTTTTTAAAATTTTTTTTATTGAAAGGGAACTTAGATAATCTCTTCTCTCACTTCTTTCTTATGATATCCCCAGGAAATAGAATCTATCAATAAGGGCAATGAATTGTCATAACTGTTCGGGCAGAACTGAGTCAGGGCCTATTCTCTGGGCTTCCTGTTGAATGTTCTGTTTATTTTCACTACTCACTGTATGGTCTCCAGATCAGTAGCATCAACACCACCTGACAACTTCTTAGAAATACAAAATCTCAGACCTACCAGGATCGTCAGGTGAATCTATGAACATCAACATTTCAGAAACATTTTTACATACCTGGTGTGGTATTGTTCTGTGTTCCTAAAGGAAACAGTGGTTCAATCAATAAAGGTTAAATTTCTAGTCCTGTTGAGGACTATAGTCCTTCCTGAGAACTTTCACTCTAAAGCACTTGTGAGGTGATCTCTATAGATCATGAAATTCAGTAAAAACCATCTGTTAGACCTGAAGTCTTCATAGTCAATTATGAAGGTATTTGCCCTTTGCTAATGGAAAAAAAAAAAAGGAGCACAACTCCAATTGGTGAATTTATCAATCTATCTTTTGTCCCTTTTCACCAATACCCATAGTCAGATTTTAGTTTTTACAACATACTAAGTTACAAGGTGGACTCATTGATCTATTTCTCAAGATACAATGGCAGTTTGTATCTTGATGTGATCCTTATGTTACTCACTCATGGATGGCTTGCCATTTGCCCCTTGGCATCTATAATCTACTTAGAGAGATAAAACAATCTCTAATCTCTGTATTATACAGGACAGAAAAACAAGCACTGGGAAGATGTGGGGCTTTCTGATCTCAAGACCTGATCTAGGCAAAAGAGTGAGGAGAGGTGCCAGGTCACAATGGGAGCCTGAGGCCAGCTCTCTGCAGAGCAAGCAGGAATCACTGGAGAGGTCTGCATATAGGTGCAGGAGCCCAGTTTTGCACAGTGTGACATCCTTTCTGAGACCAAGGGCCAGGAAACAGGGTCATGAGCAGGGTTAGACAAGCACAATGATACCACAAAAGCCAGTCCAGAGAGAGAAAGGAGAGGGCTTAGAATTTATAGCATTTTAAGTTCTCATGAGCCTCCTGCGAGGTAGTTATTATCAATGACCTACAGGTAAGAATGATAAGGTTAATAGAGGTTAGAAAATTCATGCAAGGTCACTCAGCTCAGAGAATAGGATTCTGAAT